AGGAATAGATATTTATCATTCCCAGCTTGCTAGCAAGTTCTTGAAATCTATCTGAAGGAAGCCCCTTTGTCAATAGATCAGCTAATTGACGCCCAGTGGGAATGTATGCAGTGGTAATCAACCCGCTATCAAGTTTCTCTTTGATGAAATGGCGGTCGACCTCAATATGTTTAGTCTGATCATGTTGAACTGGATTATGAGCTATACAAATAACGGACTTATTATCACATAGCAGCTTCATAGGTCCCTCACATTTTATTTTTAGATCATCAAGTACAATTTTCAGCCACAGTAACTCACAAATGCCTTGAGCCATAGCTCGAATTCAGCTTCTGCACTTGATCTGGTGACCACATCTTGTTTCTTACTTCTCCATGTCACCAAGTTACCACAAAGAAACATGCAATAATCAGTGGTAGAACGACGGTCAGTCACGGATCCAGCATAATCAGCATATGTGTAGACTTCTAAAGAGAGATTGCCATCACGTCGGAATAACAACCCTTTACCAGGAGTACCTTTCAGATACTGAAGAATTCTCTCTACTGCCTGCATATGTTTCTCCTTTGGATCGTGCATAAACTGACTGACAACACTAACAGCATAAGCTAAGTCTGGTCTAGTATGGGCCAAATATATCAATTTCCCAACTAGCCATTGATATTGTCCTTTATCAACTGGAGGACTCTCCTCTTCATAGCACATCTTATGATTCTGCTCAATAGGAGTATTAGAGGGTTTACTACCGAGCTTTCCTGCTTCTTTGAGAAGATCAAGAACATATTTCCTCTGGCTGATAAAGATTCCTTTGCTCGAATGAGCTACTTCTATCCCTAGGAAATATCTCAGTTGCCCAAGGTCTTTGACTTCAAACTCAGAGGCAAGCCGTGTTTGCAGAATCTGTCTCTCCACAAAATCATCACCTGTGATAATAATATCATCAACATATACAAGGAGCACAGTAAGCTTCCCATTTTGGGAGTGCTTGAAAAAAAGAGTGTGATTTCCTTGACTTTGTTTATATCCTAAGGTCATCATAACCTTAGTAAACTTTCCAAACCAGGCACGAGGTGACTGCTTCAATCCATACAAGGCCTTTTTTAATTTATAAACTTTATTTTCTCCCTTCACAGAATCAAAATCAGGCGGAATTTCCATGTAGACTTCTTCTTCTAACTCACCATTGAGGAAAACATTTTTCACATCAAATTGGTTTATATCCCAATTGTAATGGGCAGCAAGGGATAACAAAACTCTCACCGTATTCATCTTTGCAACTGGAGCAAATGTTTCTTCATAATCAATGCCATAGGTTTGAGAGTAACCTTTGGCAACTAATCGAGCTTTGTATCTCTCAAGAGTTCCATCAGAATTATATTTCAGGGCATAAACCCATCTGCACCCTACTGCTTTCTTTCCAGTAGGTCTATCAATAACCTCCCATGTTTTATTTTTCTCCAATGCATTCATCTCCTCTTGCATGGCTTGAGCCCAATTCCCATCTTTCAAGGCTTCATGTACTAATTTTGGGATTGCAATAGAGTCTAGTGCAGAAACAAAGCTTTTGTGTTGCACAGACAGATTAGCAGAGGAAACAAAATGGGAGATTATTACTAATCTTTTTTCTGTAGTTTATGCGAGGTAAAGTAGATCGAGATTCTTTACAGTTTGATCCAGAAATCGAGAAAACTACAAAGGAAAATTGGAAACGAGCCAAGCAGAGAAAGCAAGAAGAATCTGCAAGTTCCAAGCCACACACAGAACAAGTCATGGCTGCTATAATCAACCTCTTCCTCCACCTCCTGCAGCAGATTGATGGAGTCAATTCTTGCTCCTATGTTCACAAGGCCGAACTCTAGTGTTGTCCGGCCACACATAGAGGCCAACAATTTTGATATCAACCCGTCTCTGATTAACTTGGTGGAGAATGAAAGTCAAAATTGGTTGCATAAAGGTCCCACCTTGATGCGCCTACATGAGGGTAAAAACAAAAAAATGGTCTTTGATGCGGAAGCATAGACAATCTATGCGCCTCATGTTTTAGGATCTGCCCGTTAAACATGTAGGGTTTAAAATTCATACCTTTTTCACTTGAAGGTGTCAAAGTGGATGACTCCCTCTAACAGTAATCCACACGGCTACCTCTTGGTTGCTTCTGAGAAACGCTTTCTCCCTGAACCCTCCCTTTCCTTGGAAGCTCGCTAGGCTGCGACAAGGTGGAGGCTTTCAAGTGTTTTTGTTTATTTTTCTCAAGACTGTAATGTTGTCTTGAGGTTAGGTGAGAGGACCAATAATGGAGGAAGAGAGATGAAGAGAAAGAGGGGTGGCCAAAAATTAGGATTTTTAGTCCAGAGAGGCGCTGTCTCTCTTGATCTGAAGAAAAAGACGTTACTTTAACGTGGTTCAGCAAATCCCTTAATCAGCATTAAGAGATGGACGTTACATTAACGTTTCCTCATCAAATCCCTTAATCAGCATTAAGAGATGGACGTTACATTAACATTTCCTCATCAAATCCCTTAATCAGCATTAAGAGAAAGACATTACATTAAATATAATTTTATTTAAATTCATAATTCAAATAAAATAGAAATAATAAATCTCTATCTAATCATATTAGATACAGATAAGGATAATTCAAAACTATCCTTAATTACCTAACCTCTTGAATTTAAATAAAATTAAATTCGATTTTATCCTAGCCCGCAATTTAAATTTGAATTCAAATTCAAAATTCGAAAATTCAAAATTCAAATTCAAATTTCGAATTGCGCCAAAAACTTATTTTGGCCAAGTCAACTATTTGACTTGCTAGGATTCATGGCCCAATACCGTATTGGGCCTACTAACAGATTTGGGCTTATTAATAGAAAAATTAATCTTTCACTAATAGTCCAAAGGCACATGGTGATATTGGACTTGGAGTTCAACTCCAACCCAATTACACCTATAGTCTTGAAAAACCCAATAACACTTATTGGTCCAAACTTGCTAAATGTAAGCAATCAAGAATAACCTTAGTGTGTGACCCATTAGGTTCAATTAGTCACTGACATAAATAAACTTGAACCAATTAAACTCTTTTAACAGGCCCAATTTACCTAATGACCACATAAGACACTAGCAATGCTCTGCAGCCCCAGAACTAATTGAGTTGATCAAGTGATCTACCTTTCTAATTTGGATACCGTGCCGGCATCATCCCTCACAACATCATTCACATTTAGTCGAGAGCAAGGATAAAGTATCATCTCTCTTTATTGACTAAATATAATATTTCACAGGAACTAGGAATCTTCTTCCATTGACTTTAAGATAGATCATGACTCTTCATGATCTCTTACTATGCATAGATTCCCGAGTCAACTAGAAGTCATCCAAGCCTTACCGGTCTTGTGAACGACTAATCCCTTATAGGGGATTGTGAAGTCCTTTCGGCATGTTCATCTATACACATGTATTCGAGTCATACCCAAGAGTACACTGTTCTCCCCATTTTTCAGGCGGATAAAGTTGTACAGTCAAAGTATAACTCTATGACATAGTATTCAATAACATCCTTAAGTCTAGGATGATCTGCACTACCAAACGATAAGAGACTTTACAAATCCAATGATACTCTCTATAATGAATCCTTGTGGAGTCTCTCGGTGGGTCAGTTCAGTGCTATCTGTTCTCTAACAGATCCACCCACGACATCACCTAAAGCATCACCATGCCTGCATTCCATGAGGTTCCTACCTCGTATCTTTATACAAGTAAATGACGTCGTACTAGTCTTATTGAGATCACCAATACCCTTTCTTGGTGATTCAAGACCAAGAACAGATTCTAGATAATACACATACAGTGTCCTCGAGTCCTCATGATCATGATCCCTATCATAGATCCCAGAGTGAACACATGTTCTATTCATAGGGTCTTTATCTTTATTCACATATTAACAATAAAATATTGGCGAGACATAAATATGATAAAGATAAATTTTGCTCAAATTTATAAATCATGAAATACCACTTCGAAAAAGGTGTTCATCTGATAAAACAGATTGTCTCTTGGACACCTATATACTAACAGAGAAGAACCTTTTCGGTGGAGAGGATTACGAAGATCCTCACGACTTCATAGACAGATTTCTGAGAATCTGTGACACCACTAAGCATCATGGAGTGTCTGATGATGCAATCAGACTCAGGTTGTTTTCTTTTGCTGTGACCGAAAAAACCCTCAGATGGCTAGATCGACAAGCTCCTAACAGTATCCGAACATGGGATGAACTAGCCGCTAAGTTCTTTGCTGAGCATTTTTCTCGGGAAAAGTACAATAAGTTGGTGAATGAAATCACCAACTTCATTCAGCAGCCAGGAGAGACACTCTGTGCAGCCTGGGCTAGATTCCAGGAATTGATCAGAAAATGCCCTCAATATGACTTCCCTGATGACAAGAAGGTCAGAGTCTTCTACAATGGGATGACACCCGACTCCAAGATGGTTATCAACGGTGCAGCCGGTGGAACCATAGGAAGGAAGACAGCAGCTGAAACTCTGGAACTGATTGATTACATGGCAAGAACTGATAATGCTTCAATGGAAGTTCAGCCAGTTCAATCCAAGAGGGGAATCTTACAACTGGGGAACAATGATGCGTCACTAGCTGAGCAAAAAGTAATCTCTCAACAGCTAGCCAGTCTGAATGCCAAGCTCGACAAGATGTAGATCTCAACATCTAAAGTTAATGTATTTAACTGTGAGTACTGCAAGGAGCCGCATGATACTAATGAGTGCCCTACATTCAATAGAGCTGAACCATTCTAGGTCAATGGAATTTGGTATGATCCAAGGCCACCACAGAATACCCAAAGTTACCAGAGGAATCAGAATGGCGGCCAAGGGAACAACTTTCAGAGGAGAAATCAAGGTGGAGGTCTGGATTACAACTCCAACAATTATCTGTAACCTCCTCCTCTTCCACATAAAGAGCCATCCGAATTGGAGAAAGCAATGATACAACTTTTCAAGACCACTAATGATCACATAAATGAGACAAGAGCCTACCACAAGAATCAAGATGCATCCATCAGAAACTTGGAGACTCAAATAGGCCAACTTTCAAGACAACTTGCTGAGAGGAGTCAAGGAACAATCCCTAGTGATATCATTGTGAATCCAAGGGAGCACTACAATGCAATCACTACTAAAAGTGAGGAGCTAGAAAAAGAGGAAGTTGAAGCTTCTGCAGGCAAGAATGAGCACACTCAAGAAGGCAAAGAAAAAGCAAAAGAACAACCTCCTGCAGTTCAAAAGAAGCAATGGGATTTCTCACGTTTTGAGAAACTTCCATATCCAGTGAGGCCCAAGCAAAATGAGCAAAGGAAGCAATTTTCTAAATTTTTAGATATTTTTAAGAAATTGCAGATTAATATTCCTTTTGCAGAAGCTCTGGAGCAAATGCCTTCATATGCCAAATTCCTGAAGGAAACATTATCTAAGAAGAGGAAGCTCACAGAGGATAAACCGATTACACTAACAGAGGAGTGCAGTGCAATTTTAGAGAAAAACATGCCTCCAAAGTTGAAGGATCCAAGAAGCTTCAGTATTCCATGCACCATTGGCAAGACGACTGTAGAGAGAGTCTTATGCGATCTTGGTGCTAGCATTAATGTGATGCCATTAAATCTGATGAAGAAGCTGGGAATTAATGAAGTGAAGCCAACTAGGATGAATGTTTAACTGGCCGACCGCTCAACAAAGCAATCACATGGTATTGTGGAAGATGTGCTAGTCAAGGTAGACAAATTTCTAATTCCTGTTGATTTTGTCATCCTTGACATTGATGAAGATGCCAGTGTGCCTATGATATTCGGGAGGCCATTCTTAGCAACCTCAGGAGCGTTAATCGATGTACCTAAGGGTGAATTGATAATGCGCATGGATGGAGAGCAAGCAACATTCAAGGTACTTATAAATGAAGCTCCTCCATTGCTTGTGTCTCAACCTAAGAACCATGTCAATTACATTGCGGAGAAAAAGGCTGAGGAAGGGAACAAGAAGGAAGTTCATCAATGGCATGAAGGAAGCAAGCCAAAGGTGAAGATGGGAAAGCCCAAGAGCAAGGAAAAACATGTGGAAACTAAGTTTAAAGTTCTTGAGAACCCTCCTCCTTATCCACATGCATATGATCATGGAAGGAAACAATACTGGACCAAGAAGACTGGGTCATCAAAGGTAGCGTGCTTCCAACCACCATAAATCACAAGAGGTATGTAAGAACCCGCACCGTAAATTAAGGAATTTAATTAATAAATATGAGAAAATAGGAAATGATTCCATAATTGACCCTAATAATTATTATGAGGCTTTTATAATTATAGTAAGTGAGTAATAATGCTGAAAGTCGCTTTTCAGAAGAAAAGTGCAGATACCGGTTCTGCTAGTCGGTATAAATGTTTACCGAAAAAGTATCCCAGAAAATTATAATAAGTGCATGATAATTACTAGAATGATATGTAGGACTTGTAAAACGAGTTTCAAGTCCAAATAATGAGAACTGGTGCTAGAAACCGGTACTGGATTTGAAAAGCGCGTACCGGAAATGTGCTTAGAAAATTATAAGAAAAATATGATAATTCTTGTAAAATTGAGTAGGTTAAGAATCCAAAGTTTGGGATTAAAATGCTAAGCGTAGCAATTAAAGTTAATACTATGTGTTTTCCTTTAAGTGGACTATAAATACAACTTTTGCACACTAACCTAGGCTGATACTCAGCCATTTGAATGTGAAAGTTGGTGCCTTGGAGCTGCTGACCAGCCTCCTTGATGCCTTGCCTTGTTTCCTTGGAAACTCAACCAAGTTGTCACATTTTCCTCTAGTTTCTTCACCAAAACACCTTGGGTGAATAGGAAATACTTGAGTGAGTGTGTTGTGAGCTTCATTCTGAGTTTGTGGCCTTGTGGTAAGGTGAAATTGGTGACCTTGGGGCTGTATTATGGAGTTTGGGCTTGTGTGACCTTGTTCTTTGCCTCTTGAGCTTCAAGAAGCCACCTTTTGGCACAAAGAACCTTGCTTGTGTTGTCATTTTCGTGGTTGAGGGAAGTCAGAACCTTGGAGGCATATTGGAGAGCTCCAAGAGCCTTTACTTCTCTGTTTTGAACCTTTGGTGAGTTGTACCAACCTTAATCATGTGTTTGATGAGTAAAAGAGGTATATTGGCATGTTTAATGAATTAAACAAGTAACCAACTGTCATATGAACCTAAGTGGACATAAAGATGCATGTTTAAGCTTCTGGAAATGTTAAAAATGGAACCTTGGAAGGATATCTTCACGAAATTCATTTTCTGCATTCTGTCGTGAAATATCCGGATATCTGCCCGAGAAATATCCGGATATGGGATTTGGACATCCGGATATTAGATATCCGGATATGGGATTCTGGATATCCGGATATTGCATATCCGGATATGTCCAGCGAGATATCCGGATATTGCATATCCGGATATGGTCCCGAGGAATATCCGGATATTCTGGGATTTCGTAGAACAGTAGTTGTGTTGTGTGTACAGTAGGTTGTTGGGGGTTTATGGACCCTAGATTGATGAAGTTGAACTTCTGTAATTAATGAACTAAGTCAGAATCGTTGTGATTAAGGGCTTATGGCTTGGTATGGAGCCTTAAGACGTAAAACGTAAGGAAAAGCGTTGTCTTTAAGTTATATGCTTGTGTTGCATTATTATGATATAATATTGGTCCATAACAGATTGTGAATCTGCTGTGTTTGGACTTTGAGCTGTGGACTCTTGGCCTTGGGTGTTAGCTTGCAAGGTAAGCTTTCGTGTCCTCGGTTTAGCCATGTTGTGGTTCCACCATGTCCCATGGGGGTGTGGTTCTATGCATGCTGTGTTACATGCTTTGAATATTTGAAAATGTTGTTGAGCTTTATGTGTAATGGCTTTTAATATGCATGTGTTGTTCCATCTTGACGGTAAGCCTGAGTATGTAGCGTCATACAAGACGGTGATCCGGGGTGGATGCAAGTAGCATCTTGCACTAGTGTGGGTATTTGGCGTATGTAAATCCTGCATTTCTCTGGCCAGTAGAATAGAATTGACACACATGGCATGATTATCTGCTGCATTGCACTATTTTAGAACTGATGATGATATCTGCTTCTAAACTTATATTGCATATGTAAGTGAGCTTGGGGTGGAAGATCCATGAGGACCCTTTGTCTTACTGAGATTTCTTGTTTAGAGATCTCACCCCACGTTTGGGGAATGCTTATTTCAGGTTCCGGTAGTTTGGTGAGTGATGCCTCTGGCGGCAGGAGGCCAGAGCTTAGTTGATGATATTATGCTATTTTGCTGCCATGACTGGATATGTATGCTGTTTATGTTTTCCGCTATTTATGTTTATTTTGTTGTTGAGACTGAAGTTGGGCGTGTTGCCTTATTTGAGTGAGCATGGGGATTGTCCATGACACTTTATGTTAGTTTTTTAGATTGGAGTTGTATAAACTGTTAGATGGTCCGGTCTACGTTGTTGTAGTTCCGTGACTAGAGCCACACTTTTATTATATATGTTATGAGGTATTTTCAGATAGCTGTTTTATTGTAATTACATACAGGCGATGTTTTATTAATTGATTAATAAGCATGTTGGTAATGATAATGACATCATAATTGAAAAGAAAAAGAGATTCCATATTTTTAATTAAGCGCTGCTTAATACGATAGTATGATAACATTACCGGATATATACGGAGTGTTACATTTATGGTATCAGAGCCAGGTTCGAGGGAAAAGCCTGTATGTATTGCAATAGCTAGGATGTTTGGTTGTGTTTGTCTTGTGTGTTTACTCTGTCGAATTTTATTATGATAATGCATATGTAATCACACTGTGTGGGCCTGATCAACTCATAATTTGTGTAACTTGTGCAGAGTCATGGTAAGGTCCGGGAGAACACGGGAGACTTCTGAGGATCAACCCGATCCTATCCTGACTGCATTGGCTGAGATGCAGGCGGCTAGGTTAGCCGATCAGGAGGCCACTAGATTGGCCAACGCATCAATGATGGATGTTGTTCGCGAGGTGAACCGAATAGCCGCAGAGGAGGTTCGTGAAGCGAACTGGAGGACCACTGAGGATGTCCTCGAGGCGAACAGGATGGCAAACATGACGATGATGAGAGTCATGTTGGAGGAGATGAGGGCTGGACCTGCTGTAGGCCATGCACCACCGCCACCACCGCCACCGCTGCCGCCTCCACCTAGTGTTCAGGATGAGAGCCTGAGTCACATTGGCAGTGCTGCTCATGTCGCTGAGACGAGGGAGACTCTTGTAGAGCCTGCTGAGGATCGTGATTTGATAGATCGCCGGCTGAATGCTTTCAGGAAGCATAAGCCACCTGTGTTTGAGGGTTCTTTGGATCCTATTGCTGCTGCGAGATGGCTGGAGTCGTTGGACAAGATTTTTCGGGTCATGCAGTGTACAGATCCGCAGAAGATGATGTTCTCGACTTATATGCTGGAGGGCGATGCCCATGAGTGGTGGACGAACACCTCTCGTGCTTATGAGATGCAGGGTCGTGTTCTGACATGGCCATTCTTCGAGGAGTGTTTCTTGGGCAGATACTTTCCCTATGATGCGCAGGAGAGGAAGCATGGGGAGTTTGATAGATTGGTTCAGGGCTCGATGACTGTTGACGAGTACTTGTCCAAGTTTAATGAGCTGGTAAAGTTTGCACACTTCAGGATGGTTCCTCCTACTCCGATGTTTCTGGCTGCTAAGTTCCGCAGAGGACTTAATGAGGTGATTGCTGAGCATATTGCTGGAGCTGCTTCGAGGGATTTTGGTACACTGGTTTCAGCAGTGTAAGGACATTGAGGATGTCTGCATAGCGAGTAAGGCCAAGAGGGCCAAGATCGACGAGAGCAAGGGGACTGTTGGTTTCACTCCTGTTTCTACGTCCCGGAAGGACAAGAGGTTTGCTGGGAAGGGCAAGGGTAAACAGTTGGCTACTAGGTAGGCGCCTGGTCAGTTCAAGAGGACTGTTTCACAGCAGGGGAGTTTTGCTAGGCCTCCTTCCACTCCGAGATGTGGGGGGTGCGGGAAGGAGCATGTGGGACGTTGTGCTTCGGGGCAGTTGGTTTGTTTCCTGTGTGGCAAGGAGGGCCACTTCTCTAGAGATTGTCCATCGTCGACGGCGAGAGCTGCAGCTGTTCAGGCAGTTCCTTTGCAGATGGTTCCGATGGCTTCTACTTCGGGACCTGTAGTGCCACCTTCTGTTGGGCGTGTGTACACCTTGGATAGGCAGCAGTTAGACCGCGCTCCGAACCTTGTTAGAGGTACTGTGTCTATTGGTGGTATTTGATAACTCGTATTTTATTACACTTATTTGTTACTCTTGATTAGTATTTTTAGGATTTATTTGAATAAAATAATGATGTTTTGAGTTAATTTACATTTTTAGTATTTGATTGGCTTTAATTTATTTTCGTCAGAATTTTTCAGCTTTATATTACTTCTTTATTTTGGCCATATCTCGGCCCACAGTTGTCAGATTGACTCCGTTCTTGTTGGGTTTTTCAGATAACACAGAGAGCTACAATTTTTATGGTCTGACGCCAAGAAGAACGTGTTTTGCTGAAGTTTAGACTTGTAATTTAAAACCCAATTACATAAGTGGCCCAAAGCCAAGTTTTATTTTATTTTATTTTATTTATTTTATTT